TTTATAATGACTCTGCGCTTAACAATCTGTCAAAACCGCCTGGGGAGGGTTTACTGCCTCAACTTTTATCTGGTCAAAATGTCTTGTGGGAATACATATATTGAGAGGATTGTTTTTTCTTGTAGTATACTCTTTTCCTCAGCTTGCAATGACTTTCTATTCATACGGACATATTCTGAAAATATGCTTTACTACCACTACAAAGACTAAAATAAAAGCACTGAAGACCTGCACTCCACACTTATTTGCAATTCTGAACTATAGTGTGGGATGTTTTTTTGAAATTGTACAAAGTCGCTTTGACACAAGTTATCTTTCCTTTGAAACACAAATATTTATGTCTCTTTATTTCTTTATATTTTCTCCCATTCTAAATCCAGCTATCTATGGGATGAGTGTTAACACATTAAGAGACAATATTTTTAGACTGGTTGGCTCTAAAAAAAAAAAAGGTTGTTGTTTTTAAAGTAGGATCTTTGGAACACAAGTGAGAGTGTAAAAAAATGCAATACTGTTCTCAGTATGAGAAGCAAGTAACTGAAGTCTAATCTGTGAAGTGAAAACACAACTAAATCATGTTAACTTGTATGTGACTTTAAATAGTGTTTTTGAATTCAGCTGAGTAAGTAAATTTGACATCCGAAGACCCGAAAGAACCCCATCATGCTTTTCAAAATCAGAACATTATGTACTTGTAATATATGTGTTGTATTTAAAATGCACAACTGTGTATGCATTAACTGGATTTGCATGTTTTTTTATAAGATTAATAAACAGTCAAAATAGACCTGTCATATTTCACTTGATCAATAAAGATGGATAGAATTGATATTATTTGTAAGCAATGTACATAAAATAATTAAAAAAGAGATATACATATCTAATGTAAGACCATGTGCTGCTCTCTAATGCATCACCATAACAGATGTGCTCTTTACACGCCTCCAAAACAATTCAGGCCCTGGCTCCGAACACACTTTGTGTCACACATTATAGTGCTAATAACAAATGCCTATTTTGTTATCATTGTTATTCTATTTATAATAAACATTTTATACTGTTATGGGCCTAAAAGTTTTAATTAGGTTATTCTGTTTCTATGCTCTTCTATATATTATTTTGTTTTGTCTATGGCATTTTTTCCCCCTGCCGAGATAATTAAATTCTAATATTAATGCCATGGTTTAGCAATTATGCCAGTCAACTCTAATCTGCAATAAGCAAAAATATTTTACCCCTAATTTATACTTAACCTCCATGCATGCTTATGGACATTTTTGTTAATGCCAGCACCATACATTTTTGGCACAAGTGTGTATTTTTATTAGAATTGTAATATTTCACCCTCATTTCCTTTAATAAATCTATTTTACACTAGGTACACAAAATAGTTACAAACAAGACCATAAGGACAAAATCGTTCTTTTGTAACCTTAATCCAAGGCCATTTAACTAAAATGATGCAATCTTTGTTAAAAGGCTTTCATGTTGACAAGGCTTCAAAATTAAAGATTTTACTATTTTTTACCAGATGGTCCCATTTTCTCAGGTTTGGCCTATAAAGCAAATGCTCACTTTTTTCCTGTTTTCTACTTTTGCTATATTATAGAGCCAATTGGATAAATTATGCAGCTACAAATGTGTGGATGTGTTGGTATGGATGTCAGAGTGTGGTTTGTATGTGTGTTGTGTGCGTGTTTGTGTGTGGGCCCCTGTAATGTTTGAGAGAGAGAAATTAAAATACAATTTTCCACTCAGGTGGACAATAAAGTTATACAATACAATACAATACAATTATACTTTACTGTGAATCACAAATCCTACTGCTGTGTAAACCAGCAGAGCTTTTTTGGCATCTATGGGAAAAGTTTGGTACTGCGCCCAAACAAAATCTTACTAAAAGTGTAATTATTTGTGATATCAACCACAAATTTGGAACACAACTTGTTTAAATTTATGGCTTTAATTTTCAAGAATTTTTTTTAGTTCAACTTGTTTTATAAAATATGTTTTTATATAAGAATTTGCTTATAAATCATTTTCTAAAACCTCTATTTTTAGTTTTTTTTACTTTAACAATAATCTGCCAAGGATCTTCTTTAAAATGAGAACAAACTTAAGTCTGTATTCCCAAGCTTCAATATGCTTATCCGATAGGGTTTATGTATATGCTTTATTTTTTTCCAGATTAACTGTTTTTTCTAAGGCATTTTTAGATTCCAGTGTTTCCTGTCATAGATATACAAAGATTTGATTTCAAAAACAGTATCATAGCTATTAAACTATTTCTTGTTATGATTTTAAATATGTATTTAACCTCAGAATGATTTTAAAGTAAGTCTGAAATCTGCAGCTGGATCATGAACAATGGGTACTGATCCATCCTTGAGTTTGAACTTTTTAACAAAACCTGTCTTGAATTGTCCCTCATTCAGAAAGCTGCCTGGAGTAAAATGATTTGCGCAGCCAGACATAAACACATTTAGTGAAAGTTAATTGAATTGACATATGGCTAACTATGGTGTCCCATACTCAGAATTTGTGCTCTGCATTTAACCCATCTAAGTGCACACACACACCGTAAACACACACCAACAATGTTGGGGGTTTGGTGCCTTGCTCAAGGGTCTCACCTCAGTCATGGTATTAAAGGTGGAAGTATTCCACTGGTATTCACTCCAAAATCAAAATGGCTTTATAATTGAGACTCTTTAGGTTTTTGGTGGATTAAAAAAAGGAGTGATTTTTATCATAGGGCGGTTGTGTCCACACACTGCTAAGACACCTTTATATGCAAATGAAGATATTTTGCATCCAATGTCTCCTTTAAAATGAAAATATTATAATCTTAATTCAAGTGATGAAGGATTTCGAAAGTCTGAGAGGTATCAGTGTTGAGCACATATTGTAAGTTTAACCCTGGTTTTACATGTTTGAAAATGATTAACAGTTGAAAACATTATAAATTTAGAAAAGTAATCAGATGTAATCAGTTACATTACTTTAATAAAGTAATTAAAAAGTTACACTACTTATTACATTTTAAGTAGGGTAACTTGTAATCTGTAACCTATTACATTTCCAAAGTAACCTTCCCAACACTGTTTATTTGTTTGCTTGATATACCTCTGCATTTAAATCATGTTACTTAAAGATAAGCAACAAAGACAGGCAATAAAAATAGAATGTATACAAAATGTAAATAACCTGTTATGGATATGACCATGCTTTTCCAATGGTTTACCGCAGTACTGTAAAAAGAATACATGCTTTTACAGCAGGGCCTGCTGCCCTGATGTGCAACGTGCACAATATTTTGACACAACATTTTTTGAACAGCAGATGGCAGCAAATAAAGACAAATCACAATAAACAAGGTAGATTTGAAATGCTTTCTCTACATGCCCTCTTGAACCACACTCATTGATTCTGTCACTAAAAAGGCAAAACATGTCGAGTTGGTAATGTTTCCTGACATTAAATTTGTTTTGCACCTATTCTAACCAAGAGAGAAAGAACTGGTCGAAAAATAACTGAAACCATTTTCACTCAAAAATGTGAGTAAATTTCACAACTACGTACAAATAAACCGCAAGTAACACATTTGATTAAACATAACATTTTAAGAGGAAAGACTGAAATGGTATTTCTTGTAAAACCTAGAAAGCTAATAGTTTTGACCCATCTCTAAAGTTACTAATTAAAAAAAAAATTTCATTCTTTTTTACAGATGGATTATCTACGATTTATTCCCCCATGGCAATTAGCCAAAACAAAAAGGACAAGTTATTTCATTGCAATATATGCCATAGGGTCTATATTTATTTGAATGTGTCCCTGCCGGCCTGCTGCCCTGATGTGCAACGTGCACAATATTTTGACACAACATTTTTTGAACAGCAGATGGCAGCAAATAAAGACAAATCCCAATAAACAAGGTAGATTTGAAATGCTTTCTCTACATGCCCTCTTGACCCACACTCATTGATTCTGTCACTAAAAAGGCAAAACATGTCGAGTTTGTAATGTTTCGTGACATTAAATTTGTTTTGCACCTATTCTAACCAAGAGAGAAAGAACTGGTCGAAAAATAACTGAAACCATTTTCACTCAAATATGTGAGTAAATTTCACAACTACGTACCAATAAACCGCAAGTAACACATTTGATTAAACATAACATTTTAAGAGGAAAGACTGAAATGGTATTTCTTGTAAAACCTAGAAAGCTAATAGTTTTGACCCATCTCTAAAGTTACAAATTCAATATTTTTTTCCATTCTTTTTTACAGATGGATTATCTACGATTTATTCCCCCATGGCAATTAGCCAAAACAAAAAGGACACGTTATTTCATTGCAATATATGCCATAGGGTCTATATTTATTTGAATGTGTCCCTGCGTCTCAATGTTCATACTATCCATATGATAAAGTTCTTCTAAAACAGCGCCGCTCAAGTTTTGATATCCACTTTTTAAAAACTTGAGGTTTTTCATTCTACTGCGACATATCGCGTTTTTGAGCGGATGGATACCACTTTAGGAATTGGCTTGATAAAATAGCGTTTTTAACATATATTATATTTATTATATTATTGGCCATGGATTGGCCCTCCAGGACTGGAGGTGCCCAATCTGCCCATCCCTGAAAAGAATAAATGAAGCTATTGGCTAGAAGATTTAGGAATTGTCTTAATAATTTATGATTATTATTCTATTTTATTGTATACATTTTTGTATTTTTTTAAATTTATATATATTTTGCTTTCCATTGTGTAGCTTTTCAATTATTTTTCTATGGAACTGTGCTAGACAGATGTGTTTGATTTGAGTTTTTTGCACCACTCAAGATTAAAGGATTTCAACGTTTCAAAAACATGTTCTGTGTGAATGACTCCTTAGGGACTATATCTTCTAGTGGAAGGATACCATTTGGCTTAATAACATAAGCTTTTAATAAAAGTATTTATTATATTATATTATATATTTAGTATTACAGCCATTTGAAATCTTTTTCTAGATTCAGCAACAGAGCCATTTGGCGAACAGGCTGAGGTGACCATGCGCACCAACTTCTGGGGAACACTGTGGGCGTGCCATGCTCTTCTGCCGATACTTCGACCCAATGCTCGGGTGGTCAACGTGTCCAGCTTTGTTAGCAAGAAATCCCTTGACAAGTGCAGTCCTGAACTACAGGCAACGTGTGTGAATCAGTTTTCATAGTAAGCGATCCGTTAAAGTACTTAGCATGTAGAATATTTATGTTTACCTTTGAACAGATTCCGAAATAAAGATTTATCTGAGGAGGAGTTGTGCCTGCTGATGGGAGAGTTTGTTCAGGCTGCACAGGCAGGGGATCATACGGCTCAGGGCTGGCCAAACACTGCCTATGGTACCACCAAGGTAACAAACATCCTTTTTTTCCTGACAAAAGGAGTCTGGTTTGTTTTTTAGCTGTGTATTTTAGCTATAAGCAGGCCCAGACTAAACATGTATTTGTTTACTGTCTCTTTTAGATCGGTGTGACTGTGCTATCAAGGATCCAGGCTCAAGTTCTTACCGAGACAAGGCCAGGGGATGGTATCCTCCTGAATGCTTGCTGTCCAGGATGGGTGCGAACAGACATGGCTGGACCAAATGCTACCAAGGGTCCAGAGGAAGGGGCAGAAACTCCTGTTTATCTGGCCATGCTGCCCGAAGGAGCCAAAGAGCCACATGGACAGCTAGTGTGGGACAAGACTGTACAGGAATGGTAGCGTGAAGAAAGGAGGCGTCATCAGTTCATTCCATCTGAAAAGAATGTCATGATTACATCTGATAGGAAAGACTTTTCCAAAATATGCTGACATGAAAAGAATACTGTACATTTTCACTTCTACATCATTAAATTACATTCTAAAATGCTCTGACATGTACTTGCTTCAGTTTTCTTGAAAGTAACTGTGTGATTTATAGATACGATATGAGCTCACCATATCTTATTTTCAGTATCTGTTCAGTTTCTAGGGTCATTTTGTTTATCTTGCTAAGATAAACAGATTTTGGCCTCAAATGCTTCTTCCACAGAACAGATTTTACCATCTGAACAAACTAAAATCTCTATATACATTCCTATTTTGTGAAGCAAAATGCATATTTAGTTTGCCAAAACATTTGTGAACTTGTGATCTTAAATTGTATCCATTAAAATGATTTGTTGTAAGCTTGACTGCCTTCGCGTTCTTCATGCTCAAAGGTTATTTCTGCTTAAGTCATGTGCTTATTTTAGGATACTCAAAGCATTAGATAGAGAAATAGTTACTGTATTATAGAATACTGACTTTTGTGCCCTGCAATTCATCCACAGTCATACCCGGCTCAAGACTTGAAGTAAAACAACAGTTATGCAAGCTTTTGTTGGTGCAACCTCTGCTCTTGAGAAATCAAAGCCATCATAAAGCAATCTGTAAAACAATCTAGCTAAGAAACTGGTAATAAAATGTGCAGTATCTAAACCTTACTGGTCAACAGAAAGCAGTTATCAATGCAGAGAATGTAATATAGTTTTTTTTTGTAATGTATTTGAACTATTACTCCACCAACTGGTAGATTCAAGTTTGGTTTATGTGATAAAACACTGATCAACTCTGGTAATCAAATCCCCTCCCATCTTGTTTGGATCATGTTCACAATATTACAATACCAAAGATGATTTAATTGGAAAAAAAAATAAAAATCAACAAAAACTATTTTGTTTTATAGATAGATAGATAGATAGATAGATAGATAGTATTTGTTTAGTGACATTAAAATAACAAATTAAAATTGTATGGTACATGTGTATCTAGTAGAAGGCGCCATAGATATTTGTAAATTAATTTACATAAGGGCTGGGAAGCCGTAAAACACAATCCCTTGCATGTATAATAATCATTGGAGCTGAAATTCCATGTTAAAAGAACAGAATGTCAGAATATCTTTTATCAACAAACATCTAATCACTTTAGAAACATGTCGAAGAACCAGTATTCATCTACATTCGTTTGTGGGAGAGTGCAAATAATACTAAAATAGTTTTATCCCAGTTACTCCACTAGATGGCAACATAGGACAAAAATCTAAGGAATATCCTCAAACTCTTCTCTTGTATTGGTTGTTCATTTATAATTAATTTAATTACAGTATGCTGGTACCACGTTTAAAGTCTATTGAGCGTTTTTACTGATATATAGCAATTTATTTGTTTATGTCCATGCCTGTGTTGGCAGCCTACTGTAATCAGGAATGGCTGTATAGTTTCTGAGGCCAAGGAGATATACAGTAGGCTATAAACAACAAATCGGTACATACACATAATTCATCAGAATTAACTGGCTCTAATTCTGTTATATTTTCAGTAAGAGTCAAATAAATTACATAAAATGCAGTGTAGAAACTTTTAATTCACATCCTTTATAAAAAATAAACAAGAAAAAGACTTGCCAGCTCTAAAGCCACAACAAAATAACTTGCAGGAAATTGTTCTGGGAAATTCTGGGAAAAGAACAGCACAACAACATGCACTAAAAACAATCAGTGGTGATCACAAATACAGTATACCGCAATAAAATCACACCAACAGCACAGACTTGCAAAACCCTGAACTACCTTGAATCAACAGTGCTTCATTCTGGAGCTAATGCATCATGGTATTAAAACAGCGTGTTCTGTGTTTTCAGATGGATTCATTACAAAAAATATTTCTTTCAAGCACGTATTTAAAAATAAGGTTTTCAATGTCAACAGCATAATTAAGTAATAAGTAAGCAATGCTTGTTGACCTAGAAGTACAGATATCAACAGACAATTATCATATTCCACTTAATACACACTGTACAGTAAACATATGTCCAATAGTTTTTAAATGCAACATTTTTTCAGTAGCTTCTGACAAAAGAGATAGAACAATCTACACCTGAAATGTGATGAACGTTTTAAGTCACAATTAAATTTTCTGCTAAATAATAGTAAACACTTTGGGCACCTTTATATCAAACAATGAATATAACCACGTTTATGACAACAAGTACAGCACATGTAGAGTGTTATTCACAAGATAAATGTACAACAGTATAAAACAATCAATACATCTAAGTGTGGTATCAGTGGAGTCAAATAAAATGAAAAGGACAAGTTGACCAAAAAAAGGAATAAAAGAGTCCCCTCAAAAAATACTGGGTTACAATTGCCTCAAGATGTTCCTCTCTTGATTTTGCTCATCAGGACCAAACGGTGACAGAGCTTTTAGCAACACTTGCAGGTCTTCACAATCATATTTGACAGCTGTTCTACCTGTAGAATGTTTTAACATTATTTCGATGAAATTTCTGTTGACCACTGATGAAAGTGATATTAAAAACATCAGTGAATTTTATTCTGACCTTATGTTGGCGGCCCACATAGTAAAGGATGGGCAGTGGGTCTAGAACCTGCGGTACACAGCAGGGTTGAGCAGATGCACCAGGATTGTGATGCCTATACAGCGCAAGAACCTGCAGGCAAAGAAAACCAGACAATTTCAGAGCCTTATTTTCGAAACCGTCCAGTTGTAAAACATTTCCAAGCATCTGACAGTCCTGATTGCTACCTGTGAGTACTTATTTTCTGAAGTCCAGACGAAAGAGCAAGAGCCAGTGCAATAGTTGGCATAATAACCAGAAGGTTCATGTATCCACTTCCAGCCCAGGTCTTTGCGGAAGTCAATGTACAGACTCCTCACACAGCAGCCCGCAGACTTACTGCATTTAACATGAAGATGGCACACGGTGAGACGTTTGATATAGTAAGAATAAAGAATGTCAATTTTATTTTATGCTGACTCATAAAAGGCTCACTCAGTACAAACTCGATCTGTTTCCGTTTGACGTTTTCTGCGAGATTTTGATGAGCTGTGGCCGTCAAGAGGAAGTGACATTACCAAAATGTGAGGCCTAGGCACATTTTCTGCTAAGAAGGCTTTATCCCCTCTTGTATGAGACAAACCTGCAGACACAAAGAGCAATATTAACTTATCCTATCGACATCAAGACATAGAGGATTTCATTTTAAATTCACAAACCTTTTATTCTGATTGGAAACTGCTTCTGAGGCTCACAGTTATCAGCCATCTTCAGTTGAAATCCTTGCTCTGCCTCTATGAATCACATTTTAGAGAAAGTTTTATTTATGGTGCAAACAATGCATACGTGTAATAAACACTTCTTTTAAACTGATACATCAGTTACAGCGGCAGTGTTTTCAGTAATATAAAAAGAAAAATGATCATCAACCGAAGATTAACCTGCTGATCATGATGTAAATATTATTGTGTACTGTACTGTTTTATTTACTTATATATATATAATGTTTGTGGAAAACTGCGATAGTGTGTTTTGTCTTAATGTCTTTATTGTCACTTAATATACATACATACATATAACATTTGCAATTTTTCAACTCTGTAAGAAAAGTTTTAGGACATTAGCTTAAAGCCCTGATTTGTGTGTTTGTTATCTTCTATCATATAAAGATTACATCAGCATGAAAATTAAATAGATAAAATCTTTAAAATGAAAGTGCAAATACAAAAAGAACTACACCAGAAAGGGTAAAAGTTTGTAAATTCTGCAAATGTTGCTTTGCAACAGTGTTATTTTAGTATATTTATGTACTATTTATTAATAATTTAAAATAGCTGTTATATTTAATAAAAAAATATTAATTGTATTATGTATGCTTTTGTAATTTTTTTGTTTTATATTAGATTTTATGTTTATATTTTTTGTTTTCTTTTCTTTTTTTTAAAGTTTTTTGTTTTTGGTAAAGCTTGTAATGCCAATTTTTTTTAAGTGTGTAATGTAATTGACAAGTTATAAATCTTATATATATAGCTTTATTTCAATTACTAAAAACAATTTTAAATCCAAGTTTTAGTTACTAACAACACTGGTTTGTATTTATTAATAGACATACTAACAATAAATAAAAATGTGTTTCATCATTATTTGATTCTTAACTGATGTATGCAGTCACTTAAATTTGTGTAAAAACGGGGGGGACATGGCTAATATTCATATACATATTTTTACTACATTAAATTCAACATTAAGATTAAAGATTTTAATAATTAGATACAGTTGAGTGGGTCATTTGATGTGATGAGCTACTTTTCATGCTAGGTTAATCTTACATTAGATTAGATACTTCCTCACAAAATCACACAAGGTCACATGTGTCATTCCTCACCATTCCTCTGTAGCCAGTCCTTCAAGGTCTGTGTGACATCAAACGACAGCCACTTGCCAGTCATTAGGCTGGAAATGAAACGTGATTCCAAGTAGCGTGATTTGTTCCCAGTGACCTGATATAGCTCCAGTCTCTGCTCTGAATCAGGAGCCATTGAAGCATCCCAGATATGCAGACGGAGCTCCACCTGGGAGATTGTGTGGTCTAAACCCAATTTGTGGCTTATATCTGTGATGTTGAACCATAAGAGCTTGTCCGGGCTTTCCACCACTGGTGATGAGATAGAAAGCAAAAATGTCGGAAATATGTCTTTGATGTCCTTTTATATTTTACAAGACGCTGTTTAAATGGAGCACAGAAAGAAGGAACAAAGGCCTATTTGTGTGTGTGTGTGTGTGTGTGAGCTGTGAGGGAACATCTCTGTATTATAATGAGAATGACAACAACAATGCTCTGCAATTAGGTGTCAATGATATAGTCATACTGCACAAACAATATGTTGACGCTTTATAAAAGTACAATGATATTTAAAGGTAAAACTGCAGTAATGACAAATGAATCAGAAACATTTGAACAAACTTATTTAACTAACTTTTTATGTTCAAAAATACAGTAAAAACAGTAATATTGTAAAATATTATTACAATTAAAAATAACTGTAATATTGTAAAATATTATTACAATTAAAAATAACTGTTTTCTATCTTAATGTATTTTGAAGTCTAATTTACACTTGAGATGGCAAAGCTACATTTTCAGGAGCCATTATTTCAGTCTTCAGTGTCAACATGAACATTCAGAAATCATTTTAATATGCTGAT